GATGTCCATCAACAGATGAATGAATAAAGAAAATGTGGTATTTTTTATTTTTTTAAGATTTTATTTATTTATTCATGAGAGACACACACAGAGAGAGAAAGGGAGGAAGACACACAGGCAGAGGGAGAAGCAGGCTCCAAGCAGGGAGCCCAATGTGGGGCTCGATCCCAGGACTCCAGGATAAAACGTGGTATATTTATAATGGAATATTACTCAGCCATCAAAAATAATGACATCTTGCCATTTGCAATGACATGGATGGAACTAGAGGCATTATGCTAAGCAAAATAAGTCAGTCAGAGAAGGACAAATACCATATAATTTCACTCATATGTAGAATTTAAGAAACAATACAAGTATGCCAAGGTAAAAAAAAAAAGAGAGAGAGACAGAGACAAACAAGAAGCAGTCTCAACTACATAGAACACACCGATGGTCAACAGAGGGAAGATGAGAGGGGATGGGCAAAATAGATGATGAGGTTTATGAGGCATTTGTGAGGAGCACAGGCTATTGTATGGAAGTGCTGAATCACTGTATTATACACCTGAAATGAATATTACACTGTATGTTAACTAAAATTAAAATTTAAAAAACAAAACCCACGGTGAGAAAAAATAAACAGCCAAAGGACAGGAATAGACCTTTTTCCAAAGAAGATATAGGAATGGCTAATTAGCACATGAAAGATGCACAATATCACTAATCATTAAGGAAATGCAAACCAAAACCATAATGTGACACCACCTCACACACACTAGGATGGCTAACTTCAAATCTAAAACAGAAAATAAAATTTGGCAAGGATGTGGGGAAATTGGAACCCTGTGGTGCTTTGCTGATGAAAATAAGAAGTGGCACAGCTGCAACAGGATACAGTGTGCCAGTTCCTCAAAAATTGAAACAGAATTATCATATGATCCAGTAGTTTCACTTCAGGGTATATGCCTACTTATAGCCCCCAAAGAATTTATAGCAGTGACTATAACAGATATTTGTACACCAACTTTTATAAAATTTTATTTACAGTAGCTAAAATGTGGAGATAGCCTGAATGTCCATCAATAAAATCACAGATGAACAAGCGCAGCACATACAGTGAAAAATCATTCAGCCTGTAAAACAAATGAAACTCTGGTACAGGCTACAACATGAGTGAACCTTGCAAACACTAGGCTAAGTGAAAGAAGCCAGTCACAAAAGGACAAATATTATACCACTGCAACCAAATGAGGTACCTAGAGGACTCTGTTTTAGTGAGAGAAAGCAGGATGGCGGGAGCCAGTCTGAACTGGGGAACAATGGGGAGTGAGTGTTTCATGGGGACAAAGGTTCAGTTTTAGATGATGAGAAACTTCTGAAGACGGATAGAGGCTGTGCTTGCATGATGGGGAGAAAATCTTTAATGCCACATAACCGAATACTTCAAAGTGTTTAAAACAATAAATGTTATATATATTTTACCTTGACAAAAAAAAGGATTAAAAATGATTGGCATACTCTAAAAGACTGTCAGTGTCAATGATATCCTCATATGATATAGAGGAAAGAATCCAAAGTACAGGACATAAGGACATTGTAATGGTTTATGTTGTGTGATTCAATACCTCAACACCAAAGTATACCCAGAATAAGGGTTCAGGGGACATAAAATTCAACATAAGGACATTGAGAAATACTTTGGTGAGGCTGTAATGTCTTCCTTGACAAACTCTACAGAGTTGTACAACCCTATATGATACAATTCCCATGGACATGATCAAATTGAAATGAATTTGTCCTGAGGTGAACCCATCCTGAACTGGCAAGGGCCACATCAGCAGTCCAAAACCATCTAAGGTATGGTATTCAGAGTTCATGTAAGAGTTCATAATTCACATCTAAATTGTATGATCCACAGGGATTTCTCAAAATGGCAAATTCCACATAGTGGCTCTATGAAACAGAAATGATGGGCAGCTTATTAAGGGTCCATCCAATTTTAGTAAACAAAACAATAAAAAAAATTTTAAGAAAATCTAATTCTCATGAAGAAAAACTTGACCTGAGTTACTACAGTGAAGGGTCATAATCTCACAGGCCCAGATCCTAGATTTATGGAACCAGTTACCCCTGAGTGAAGACTCTCAAATGGCAACAAATAAGTTACATTTTCCTCCAAACCCAACTCAAAGAAGCTGAAGTGATGGTGTTAGCCAGCTTAAAATGGCCCATGAGGACTGTGCTCTGAACTAAAATTGATTGCTTGAAATTGAGCAAGATGAGGTTGCCTGTGTGGGGCAATTGGTTAAGCAAACAATTCAATTTCAGCTCAGGTCATGATCTCAGGGTGGTGAGATCAGCATGGAGCCTGCTTAAGATTCTCTCACCCACTCCCACTCCTTCTCTCTCTGCCCCTCTCCCCTGGTGTCTCTCCCTCTGTCTATTATAAATAAATAAATATTTTTAAAAAAGAGGGATCCCTGGGTGGCGCAGCGGTTTAGCGCCTGCCTTTGGCCCAGGGAGCCATCCTGGAGACCCGGGATCAAATCCCACGTCGGGCTTCCGGTGCATGGAGCCTGCTTCTCCCTCTGCCTCTCTCTCTCTCTCTCTCTGTCTGTGTGACTATCATAAAAAATAAATAAATAAAAATCTAAAAAAATAAAAAAAAGAAATTGAGCAAGATGAGAGTAATTACACCATGGAAACCGACAAGTGCTACAAGTAAGTACTCTTGGTTTTTTCCCCCTTTATCTTATTTTCTTCCTTTCTTCATGCTTTCATTTCTTTCTTTGTGTTTTCTTTTGAGAGAGAGAGTTCCTTAAACATTTAACTAAACACTAGTGTTCAAAGGGACCTGTGGACTTTTACCTGGAAAACTGTGAACCAGGTAATAGGAGATTACCATGATGGCCTACAAATCCAAATGGGGGCTTCTAGGGTCAGGTGATGAGGATACATTCATCTTACTCAACTCATAAAGCACAAGTGAGATCCATAAGGATATCCTGCTATTATTGCCTAATTTCTGGGATGTATCATTACAAAGACTTAAGGCCATAGGCAGACTATTCACATTGATTTTATTATCTGTGAAAGGCCTATTGTGGCAGGAGGTGTTGAGGGAAATCACCAGATAGTGTTGCTGCCTACAAAAATACTAAATGAAAAGTAATAATGCATCCTCGGAGTAAGCACCATAAATGACACATCAGTCTGAAAATTCAGGAGTTGTTTCTATTACCTACACAATTTATGTTTTTATCTGTGCAAGGGAAAATTATATATTGCATAGTGGATGTGAATTATTATAAACTTCATCACACAGGGTTCCAGATGCCTCTGCTGTTGCAGATTTGCTCTCTTTCTGGGATGGATTGACAGAAAACCCTGGAAACTGGTACATACATAGCCTCTACTATGTTAAATGGATTTTCTCCCAGAGCAGATATTCTAAGGAATGGCTCCTTTCATCTAAGGGAGGAAGTATACCACATTTATTCCTCCGGCTCTTCCTAACATTATAAGTACCCAATTACCTGTACTATTTATCTGCTGTAGAAATCCATGCAGTGGATTTAATAAGATATCAAAAAAATTTCAAGAAATAGGAACACCTGGATGGCACAGTCAGTTAAGTGTCCAACTCTTGGTTTCAGCCCAGGGTTGTGATCTCAGGGTAATGAGATTGAGCCCAGCATTGGGTTCCATGCTCACCTGGAGTCTTCTGGAGATTCTCTGTCCTTCTCCCTCTGCCCTACCCCCTCGCGCTAACTCTCTCTCACTCTCTCACTCTCTCTCTCTCTCTCTCTGAAATAATAAATAAATAAATAAATAAATAAATAAATAAATAAATAATCTTTTTTAATAATAAATTTATTTTTTATTGGTGTTCAATTTGCCAACATACAGAATAACACCCAGTGCTCATCCCGTCAAGTGCCCCCCTCAGTGCCCGTCACCCATTCACCCCCACCCCCCGCCCTCCTCCCCTTCCACCACTCCTAGTTCATTTCCCAGAGTTAGGAGTCTTCATGTTCTGTCTCCCTTTCTGATATTTCCTACCCATTTCTTCTCCCTTCCCTTCCATTCCCTTTCACTATTATTTATATTTCCCAAATGAATGAGAACATATAATGTTCGTCCTTCATCAATTGACTCATTTCACTCAGCATAATACCCTCCAGTTCCATCCACGTTGGAGCAAATGGTGGGTATTTGTCATTTCTAATAGCTGAGTAATATTCCACTAGTTTCCAAGATCTATAAAGAACTTATTAAACTCAACACCGAAGAAACAAACAATCCAATCATGAAATGGGCAAAAGACATGAAGAGAAATCTCACAGAGGAAGACATAGACATGGCCAACACGCACATGAGAAAATGCTCTGCATCACTTGCCATCAGGGAAATACAAATCAAAACCACAATGAGATACTACCTCACACCAGTGAGAATGGGGAAAATTAACAAGGCAGGAAACCACAAATATTGGAGAGAATGCGGAGAAAAGGGAACCCTCTTACACTGTTGGTGGGAATGTGAAATGGTGCAGCCACTCTGGAAATAAATCTTTTTAAAACAATTTTGAGGAAATAGACCATAAAATAGACTCTTAACAGTGGGAAACAAACAAGGTTGTTAGAGAATAAGTGGATAGGATAAGATAGGATAGGATAGGACAGGATAGATGAGTGATGGGCATTAAAAGGGCTTCTGTTGTGATGAGCACTAGGAGTTGTACATAAGTGATGAATCACTAAATTCTATCCTGAATCTAATACTTCACTATCTGTTAACTAACTAGAATTTAAATAAAAACTTGAAAATGAAATAAAAATAAATAGTTGATCATTGTGTGTGAAAAAAAAAAAAAGAGACCGAATGCTATAGATAGTTATGTTACAGGCTGTCTTTCTAAAATACAAATATCATGATCTAGGTCTTCTAGGGTTTTGAGCCCTGTTACTTACATCTTTATCTTGAAACAAAAGATTCTTCTATGCAAAGAATGTCTCTCAGCTAAAGAGTTTTCTTAGGGCCTGCTTTAAGTCTCTGTTCCTCAGACCATAGATAAAGGGGTTCAGCATGGGCGTGACCACTGTGTACATCACCGAGGCTATGGCACTTGCTCTGGAGTTTTGCAAAGCAGCAGAACTAAGATACACCCCAAAACCTGTACCATAGAATAAGGAAACGACCGAGAGGTGAGACCCACACGTGGAAAATGCTTTATACTTGCCCCCAGAAGATGAAATTTTCAAAATGGAAGCTACAATTCTAGAATAAGAGAAAAGGATACCAATGAGTGGAAGAACCCCCAGAAGTCCACTTGCAAGATAAATTGCCAGGTTATTGAGGAAGGTATCAGAGCAAGCAAGTTGGATCATCTGTTTAAGTTCACAGAAAAAGTGAGGGATTTCTAACTGTGTACAGAAAGACAATTGGAAAACCATTAAGTCATGTAATAGAGAGTCCATAACACTCAATAACCAGCATGCCAGAAGCAGGATGCCACAGAACTTGGGGTTCATGATGATCATGTAGTATAGGGGGTGACAGATGGCCACAAACCGGTCATAGGCCATCACTGTCAAGAGAAAGTTGTCTAATCCTCCAAACAGCATGAAAAAATACATCTGGCTGAGGCAGCCTTCATAGGTGATCACTTTGCTCTGTGTCTGGATGTTCAGCAGCATCTTGGGGATGGTGGTAGAGGTGAAACAGATGTCTACAAAGGACAGGTTGGAGAGGAAGAAGTACATGGGTGTGTGGAGGTGGGAGTCCATGATAATGGCCAGGATGATGAGCAGGTTCCCACTGAAGGTGATCAGGTACATGGACAAGAACAGCCAAAAGAGCAGTGGCTGTAGTTCTCCCACCTCTGAAAGTCCCAGGAGGATAAATTGTGAAACACGGCTTTGATTTCTTTGTTCCATGTAACTGCTGAACATGGCTGGAACAGAGACAAAAGCTTTCTGAGGGCACAAGCGGTGATCACAGAATTAAAAGAAATGTTGCAAAAAAAAAAAAAGAAATGTTGCAATTTGTGTTTTCAACTTGCTTTATTCATTAATTCTTATACATTTCCTACCAATCCAGAATATTTAGTTGAAAATTTCAGGGAATCCCAAATGCTCCATGTTTCCAATGAGGCTAAAAATGATTAATAATCCTTGTCCTGAATCAAAACATTTACCCAAGGGCAATGTTTTTCTCTATACATTCCCTAAGAGTTGTTTTATTCATTCAACAAATACCTTGTGGTAAGTATGGTTAAAAATATTGTATAAAGTAGTGATGTGTGTTTGACCTTAACAAGATTGAACCTAAATATGTGTGTGTCAGAGGGAGCAATAGAATATTAATGAATGAGTAAAAGATGTTTCAAGTGGTGGTCACCACTAATAAGTAAAATAATGCAAAACAATGCAGACAAAAAGTGAAAAGAAAACTTTCCATTGTATCCTCTCTGATAAGATGCTTTTGAGCAAGAAAGCTGAGAGCAGTGGATTCATGAACCATGTCGATAACTTTGAAAAGAACAATCAAGGCAGGGAAATAGCCTGTGCAAACCCCCTTACCCAAACCATTGGGCATCATCAAAGAGAAAGCTGGAGCAGAGTGTGTAATGCAACAAGAACAGGTGTTGGATGTAGAAGAAGAAAGAGGTGGTTAAAGCCTTCTGCTTCTTTGGAAACATCCTAAGGCAATGGACACTGTCATTTTTATATGTATATATTATATATGATGTCTACAACAGCATAAATTTTACATAATCAAACCACAAAAAACCCCAAATACCAAAGGAATGTTGAAAAGGAAAACCAAAGCTGGGGACATCACACTGTGGGTACAAACTCTGTTACAAAGCTGTAATCATCAAGACAGTGTGGTACTGGCACAGAAATGGACACATAGTTCAGTGGAACAGAACAGAGAATCCAGAAATGGACCTCAATTCTGTGATCAATAATCTTCAGCAAAGCAGGAAAGAATATCCAATGGAAAAAGGACAATCTCTTCAATAAGTGGTGCTTGGAAAATTGGACAGCCATGAGCAGAAGAATGAAACTGGACCAATCTCTTACACCATACACAAAGATAAACTCAAAATAGATGAAAGGCCTAAATGTGAGACAGGAATCCATCAAAACCCTGGAGAAGAACACAGGCAGCAACCTCTTTGACCTTGGCCACAGCAACTTCTGGCTAGACATGTCTCCAAAGTCAAGGCAAACAGAAGCAAAAATGAACTATTGACACTTCATCAAGGCAAAATGCTTCTGCACAGCAAAGGAAGCAGTTGACAAACCAAAAGACAACCTACAGAATGAGAGAAGATATTTTCAAATGACATATCAGATAAAAGACTAGTATCCAAGATCTATCAGGGGCTTATAAACTCAACACCCAAAAAACAATGACTCCAGCCAAGAAATGGGCAGAAGAGATGAGATAAGAAACAACAAATGTTGGTGAGGATGTGGAGAAAAGGGAACCCTCTAATACTTTTGGCCAGAATGCAAGCTGGTACAGTCACTCTGGAAAACTGTTTGGCGGTTCCTCAAGAAACAAAAATAGATCTACCCTATGACCCAGCAATTGCACTACTAGGTGTTTACCCTAAAGATGCAAATATAGTGATCCGAAGGGGCACCTGCATCCCAATGCTTATAGCAGCAATGTCCACAATAGCCAAACTGTGGAAAGAGCTGAGATGTCCATCAACATATGAATGGATGAAGATAGAATATTACTCAGCCATAAGAAAGAATAAATGGAATATTATTCAGTCATCAGAAAGGATAAAATCTTACCATTTACATTCACATGGATAGAACTGGAGAGTATTAAACTGAGCAAAATAAGTCAATCAGAGAAAGTTACTTATCATATAATGTCACTCGTATGTGGAATATAAGAAACAGTGCAGAGGATCATAGGGTAAGGGAGGAAAAACTGAATGGGAATTCATCAAAGAATGAGAATATCATTAGATTGCTGGAGAGGAGGGCGGGAATGAGGTAACTGGGTGATGTACATTAAGGAGGACACATGATGTGATGAGCACTGGGTGTTATACACAACTGAATTATTGAACACTACATTAGAAACTAATGATGTATTATATGTTGGGTAATTGAATTTAACATTAAAAAAATAAAAGGGTTATGCATCATTACCAAGTGGGATTCGTTCCTTGAAGGAAAGGATGGCTTGACTTATAAAAACCCCTCTCTGTAATACAACACATTAACAGATAGGGAGGCAAGTGTATAATTAACTCAACTGCTGCAGAAAAAAAATTGACAAAATTCAGCATTCTTTCATAATAGTAACATTGAAGAAACTAAGAACAGACGGAAACTTCCTCATCATGATATAGGTCATATATGAAAACCCACCTCTAACATTATTCTCTATAGTGAAAGGCTAAAAGTTATCCCTAAGATAAAAACAAGACAAACATTTCTGCTTTCATACCTTTTACACACATGGCATCGCAAGTTCAACAGAGCAATTAGCTGAGAGAAGAAGGAGGGGGAGGAAGGGGGGGAAGGAGAAGGTGAAAAGAAAAAAACAGAAGGGAAATAAAAGTCATCAATATAGAAAGGAAGAAGTTCACAAAAAAAGGTGATCTTATCTTAAAAAATAAGATGACTGGGTGACGGGCACTGAGGGGGGGACACTTGATGGGATGAGCACTGGGTGTTGTGCTATATGTTGGCAAATTGAACCCCAACTTAAAAAATATGTAAAAAAAATAAGATGCCATTAAAAACAAAAAACCTGATTGCCTAAGAAACAGATTCAGCAGTGTTACAAATATAGATCAATACAAACACAAAACTCAGATGACTAAGGGAATCCCAGAATGGAGTGCACTGTGTGGGAAAAAAAAAAACTAACTGTATTACAATTGCATTTAATTTCAGTGCAGTGCAGAAGATAGGGGGGAAAGTGCAGAAATACAGGATATGGGAACTGAGTGGAATCTGTAAAACAGGAGATGAAAGAACTTGCTCAGAAGCACCCTATCTAGTTGATAAAAGTGTATTGCAGAGGGTACTGTAACCAGTATTGATACTTTCACACATGTGAATGAAATTGAACATATAAAGAAACAGAGAGTAAATGGTGGGCCATTTGGTGTAGGACTTTACAGGTGAGCAAGGTGGAGAGGCTGGAATGATCATTCTAGCTTATCTTTGTGTATGGTGTAAGAGAATGGTCTAGTTTCATTCTTCTGCATGTGGATGTCCAAATTTCCCAGCACCATTTATTGAAAAGACTGTCTTTTTTCCAGTGAATAGTCTTTCCTGTTTTGTTGAATATTAGTTGACCATAAAGTTGAGGGTCCTCTTCTGGATTCTCTATTCTGTTCCATTGATCTATGTGTGCCAGTACCACACTGTATTGATTAACACAGCTTTGTAATACAACCTGTGATGTGTAGTACAACATTGTGGTGCCCTCAGCTCTGGTTTTCTTTTTAAATATTCCCCTGACTATCCAGGGTCTTTTCTGATTCCACACAAATCTTAAGATGATTTGTTCCAACTCTCTGAAGAAAGTCTGTGATATTTTGATAAGGATTGCATTAAATGTGTAAATTGTCCTGGGTAACATTGACATTTTCACAATATTAATTCTTCCAATCTGTGAGCATGGAATATTTTTCCATCTCTTTGTGTCTTCCTCAATTTCTTTCAGAAGTGTTCTGTAGTTTTTAGGGTATAGATCCTTTACCTCTTTGGTTAGGTTTATTCCTAGGTATCTTATGTTTTTGGGTGCAATTGTAAATGGGATTGACTCCTTAATTTCTCTTTCTTCAATCTCATGTTAGTGTATAGAAATGCCACTGATTTCTGGGCACTGATTTTGTATCCTGCCACACTGACGAACTGCTGTATGAGTTCTAGCAATCTTTATAGCAAATTTTTTTTAATTTTTTATTTAATTTTTTATGATAGTCACAGAGAGAGAGAGAGGCAGAGACACAGGCAGAGGGAGAAGCAGGCTCCATGCACGGGGAGCCCGACGTGGGATTCGATCCCGGGTCTCCAGGATCGCGCCCTGGGCCAAAGGCAGGCGCCAAACCACTGCGCCACCCAGGGATCCCGAGTTCTAGCAATCTTGGTTGGGGTGGAGTCTTTTGGGTTTTCTATGTGCAGTATCATGTCATCGGCGAAGAGGGAGAATTTGACTTCTTCTTTGCCAATTTGAATGTCTTTTATTTCTTCTTGTTGTCTGATTGCTGAGGCTAGGACTTCTAGTACTATGTTGAATAGCAGTGGTGAGAGTGGACATCCCTGTCTCGTTCCCAATCTTAGGGGAAAGGCTCCCAGTGTTTCCCCATTGAGAATGATATTTGCTGTGGACTTTTTGTAGATGGCTTTTAAGATGCTGAGGAATGTTCCCTCTATTCTTACACTTTGAAGAGTTTTTTTTTTTAAGAGTTTTGATCAGGAATGGATGCTATATTTTGTCAAATGCTTTCTCTGCATCTATTGAGAGGATCATATGGTTCTTAAAGGAAAATTGGAGGGGCATCTGAGTGGCTCAGCCAGTTAAGTGTCTGCCTTCAGGGGCATTTGGGTGGCTCAGTAATTAAGCATTTGCCTTCCTCTCAGGACATGATCCTACGGTTCATTGAGTCCCACACCATGCTCTGCATGGAGAGACTGCTTCTCCCCTGCCTATGTCTCTGTCTGTCTCTCTGTGTGTGTTTCTCATGAATAAATAAATAAAACCTTTTTTTAAGTGTCTTACTTCATCTCAGGTCTTGACTCAGGGTCCTGGGATTGAGACACACATCAGGCTCTCTGCTCAACAGGGAGTCTACTTCTCCCTCTCCCTCTTTGTTCTCTCTCTTGCTCTCTATTTCTCAATGTCTCTCAAGCAAATAAATAATCTTTCTAAAAAATGAAAAATA